TATCACAATATTGGGTCTTGTTGCAACCTTGTAGTTTTAACCCAAATGGTACCTTATCACATGTGGAGCCATGTGATGGCATGGAATGCATGGTTGTATTTATCATTTGTCAAATTAACTATCACAATACTGTATTGGGTCTTGTTGCAACCTTGTAGTTTTAACCCAAATGGTACCTTATCACATGTGGAGCCATGTGATGGCATGGAATGCATGGTTGTATTTATCATTTGTCAAATTAACTATCACAATATTGGGTCTTGTTGCAACCTTGTAGTTTTAACCCAAATGGTACCTTATCACATGTGGAGCCATGTGATGGCATGGAATGCATGGTTGTATTTATCATTTGTCAAATTAACTATCACAATACTGTATTTGTATTGGGTCTTGTTGCAACCTTGTAGTTTTAACCCAAATGGTACCTTATCACATGTGGAGCCATGTGATGGCATGGAATGCATGGTTGTATTTATCATTTGTCAAATTAACTATCACAATACTGTATTGGGTCTTGTTGCAACCTTGTAGTTTTAACCCAAATGGTACCTTATCACATGTGGAGCCATGTGATGGCATGGAATGCATGGTTGTATTTATCATTTGTCAAATTAACTATCACAATACTGTATTTGTATTGGGTCTTGTTGCAACCTTGTAGTTTTAACCCAAATGGTACCTTATCACATGTGGAGCCATGTGATGGCATGGAATGCATGGTTGTATTTATCATTTGTCAAATTAACTATCACAATACTGTATTTGTATTGGGTCTTGTTGCAACCTTGTAGTTTTAACCCAAATGGTACCTTATCACATGTGGAGCCATGTGATGGCATGGAATGCATGGTTGTATTTATCATTTGTCAAATTAACTATCACAATATTGGGTCTTGTTGCAACCTTGTACCAAATGGTCACATGTGGAGCCATGTGATGGAATGCTCACCTTGAGGAAGGTACTAGAGTCCACATAGGTGCTGATCTCACTCTGGAACATTTCTCTCTTGCCATTCTTTGACGTCACCTGCTGGACACAGAGGTTGTCAAACCCCTTCACAAAAGTAATAGAATTTGTTCCAAGATAAAAAGTTGAACCAGGACTCCAGGTGGTTCTTTTTAATCAGTCCACTTCAGGGAACAAAATATTGACACACTTTGGGAATCCGTTTAGAATTTTAGCCGAGAAATATTTCTGAAGGAAATAAAACTCTGGAAATTAAATGGCCCCAATTAAATGGACATACATAGTTTAACCTTTTAACAAAATCAACAAGCAATTGCTTGTTGCTTGTTGATTTTTAGTTAAGTTGTAAAGGCAGGGATGAATATGTATAGCCTTGTTATAACAACCTCCTCTTTTATGACAGCAACTTGGTTATAACACCAAATTCCCCAAGTTTCAAATCTGAATTGGTTTATAAAGGTTATAACACCAACATTATAAAATCTTGGTCCAAAGTATTGTTGCTATAATGAGATTCAACTGTACTTTTGTCATTAATTTATAAATAGTGTTTTGTAAACACAGTGTGTGTAAACTCCTCCAATATTGAGAGAGGGGTCTAGGCTGAGTAGTACTCCTGCAACACTAGACACAAATACATAAATCCCAGTAGTGTTCCATGAGACTGCCATGACTGAACCAGGTGGAAGTTTAAGTTGAAAGACTCCTCCAGACTGACATGTCTCCTGGAGTGGTTGTTTTTAGGCCATGGTCTTTCATGGGAGGACACCCACTCTACTTTTCCTCTTTTAGAGTTATATATTATATATTATAAAACCTTAATATCAAGTGAAATAAATAAAAATATATCAATTTCTATGAACTCCCCTGTCAGTAGACTAGTGCTATCTAGCAGGTTCTCTTATTTCTACCATCTAGATGAGAGACTTACCTCTTTAGTAGGTGGGGAGTTCTCTTTGGGCTTCCTCTGGTGGAGGGCTTCACTCTCCGGGATCCCCCTGCAAGGATGGCTTAGTCCCAGAGGAAGGTGGAAATATGACCAACTTGTCTCAAGTTGCTAGCATTGTATATTGAGAACCTTTTTTTTTTTAATTTATTATTATCCCTAGTACACGTGGTACAGGCCATGATAATCATGGTGGGAAGAAGTTGGCGACTGCCTTTACTGTAAATGCACCACATGTCTACACATGTGAAAAGCAGTTTAACTTTTCACTTACAAATGTGCCAGAGCCTCATTTGGTCACGTGCACTCACTGGTGGGGTTGGACTTTGGAAAGAATAGGGGGCCATTTGAACTTTTTTTTTAATCAGAAAAAAGTAGCCAATGAAGAATTTGATTCCAGGTCATAGGGATCGAAAACCAATGGCTTAGACCACCCTTACACAGACCCCCTTGAGAACCTATTTAACAATGTCACTTGGGACCAAGATTTTTATGTTGTTATAACCATGGTTAAACAACAATTGGGACTTAAAACTTGGGACTTGGATCCATTATCATTAATATAATTATCATAATTCTAAGATCCCAAGATTTGATTCCTAATTGTTTTAATCATGGTTATAATAGGGCTATAACAACTTAAAATCTTTGTCCCAAGTGATGTTCTAGCACAGTTTGCCTTTATTTTACATCATGCAGAAAATTATTCTATAGGAACAATGTGAGTTTAAATAATATACATTTAACCCTTAACTACTCGCGTGGGGTTTATCACACCCCGCACGAGTACTAATGTAACAAAGTTTTGCAATCAGCCCGATTTCAACACTGCTGAATTCTCATGTAACATACTTTGTTTACACCATGAATCATTTCCCTTTTGTTTTATTGTGAATTTAGTTTCACTTTGCTATCATCTAATCTTACATTTATCCTATATTATAATGGATAGCAAAAATATTCAGTCACTTTTTAGCTTGTTTGAAGAGCAAGAAGATTTTGATGAGCTAGATGATGATAACTTTATTGAGGATGAAGAAGATCTCCCCCAGATTCTGAACAAGAAGATGAACAAGAACCATACCAGGATTCTACCTACTTCTTTGGAAGAGATAAAATTATCAAATGGAAAAAGGAAGAATGGAGAACATCAAAGGTAGCTATAAATCTTATTACACACCACTTACCTTGTTCTAAACAATTAGGAAAGAACACTCCAACTCTATTAGATGCTTTTTTGAAATTTATTAGTAATGACATAAGCAAAAAAATGGTTGAACATACAAATATTTTTATTGAGACCATCAGGCTAAATTATAGCAGGGAAGGAGATTGCCGCAATACAAATGAAAAGGAAATCCATTGTCTGCCAGATCTCATAATAATAATTGGAAAAAATCATGCATCACATTTGCATTTCAAAGAAATTTGGAATGCAAATGGCACTGGTATAGAAATATGCAGAGCAGTAATGGCCTACGAATGATTTTTGTTCCTTTTGCAAGTAATTCGATTTGACAATGTCCTTACTAGACAGATCAGAAGAGATACTGACAAATTTGCTGCCCTGAGGGAAATTTGGAAATGTTTGTTGCTAACTGTAAACAAATTTATTCTCCTGGTGAATATTTGACAATCGATGAAAAGCTTATTCCTTTTAGAGCGAAATTCAATTTTCGCCAATGCATAGCAAGCAAACCTGCAAAATACGGCTTGAAAATGTACCTGCTGTGTGATGCATGCACATTCTATACTGTGAATATGGAGCCTTATGTTGGTAACAATCTTGGGCCATTTTATAAATCCAATGCTCCTGATGATGTTGTCAAAAAATTGGTGGAACCAGTATCAGGAACAAAACGAAATATTACCACTGATAACTGGTATACAAGTTTCCCAAAGTTTGTTTACTGAACATAACTTGACCTTCGTGGGAACCTTGAAAAAAAGAAAAGGAAATTCCTGTAGAATTTTTACCCAACAGGAATAGACCTCTCTGCTCTTCTCTTTTTGGCTTCAATGAAAATACAATTCTTGTATCATATGTCCCCAAGATATCAAAATCAGTTATCCTGTTGTCAACAATGCACTCAACAAAAACAATTGACGAGGACACAGGAGATAAAATGAAGCCAGAAATAGTCACATTTTATAACCAAACCAAGGTAGGCGGTGATGTTGTTGACCAAATGTCGGGGACCTATATTGTAGGACGACGCACAAGAAGATGGCCTCTGTGTGTTTTCTTTGACCTCGTCAATGTTGCAGAAATAAATGCACAAGTTCTTTATAAATCAAATCACCCTCAAGAAGAGCCCATAAAATGACGCTCCTTTTGGAAAAGATCAGACTGAGTTTTATGGATGTTCATATCAAAGAACGGCTTTGCATTGTGTCACTACCTAAAGACATAAAACGAGCTCTTCGAAGGATAATTGGAGTGGCAAGTGAACAAACAGTAAGTAATATGAAATGTTATTTACAAATATAAATAAACATTCTAAATTTTATGATATTTTTTAGGAACCAGGACATACAGAACCACCTTCAAGAAAGCAAAAGCGATGCCATCTTTGTGACCGATCTAAGGATAGGAAAGACTACCTGCAAAAATTACAAAGGAAATATCTGCAATAATCATTCCATCATTATGTGGGCTGATTGCTTTGAAATTTAATGGAAAATAAAAAATATTTCTGTTGTGATCAATATATAGGTATTAAAATTGTAAAAGCTTATAGGATTTATATACATGTTTTTGTACTTTTATTTTGATGGAATAATTATATATTTTATTATCATTTAATCAATACACATTTTCTTTTCTATATAATATAAATATAAAAAACGTTGTTTTTAGCTTACATTATATATGTTAAATTTAGGTTTATATTTTGGGGTATGATACACCCCGTGCGAGTACTTATGTAACAAAAAATGGTGCGAGTACTTGGGGGTTAATATATATTTTCGAAACATGAATAATTACAAATATTTTATTCTAATTGAAGAATATAGCAGTTGAAAGGAAATAAATATTCTATATACAGTTATCAGCGTCATGCGTTCTTAATTCTGTCACCGTTTGCTTTTGGTTCAGTGGTAGAATGCTTGCCAGCCATGTGGGCGCCCCAGGTTCGATTCCTGGCCGATGCATTTTTTTTTTTTACAATTTTTAAAACTCATTTATATTATAAAAATATATGTGCTTTTCCTGTCTATGTACAGATTTATGGTCTATGTACCGAATTATAACTTTATCTGTCTATGTACTGTTGGCTTCCGTAGGCGTCTCTTACTGGGAAAAAGAAAGAGAGGATTCCATTTAGTTATTAACTAATATATGCATTTATTTAAGGAGCGACCCGCTCCAACACAATAGTTACAAAAACTAAAAAGCGAGTGGGGGGGGCAAAGTCAAAAACAAAGTGTCTCGCGTAGTGGTGGCGTGATCGAGGTGAGCCAATAGGAGAGCGCCATTCAGGTGTCGGTAAAGGTCGGGATGGCGCCTACATTCGGCCATTCCTGGATTCCAATCGTCCTCGATTGAACTTTGCGTTGCAGGAACGTCGTGGGTTGCGTCGGAGGGTGTCTTCTTCTTTAGGTTAATCCAACATGGCGTCGCGCATCCTTTGTTGTTGATTAATCACTCAAGCAATTCTTCTTTCTTCAGGGTTATCCAACTTCTGAAATTCTGTTGGCTTCCGTAGGCGTCTCTTACTGGGAAAAAGAAAGAGAGGATTCCATTTAGTTATTAACTAATATATGCATTTATTTAAGGCGCCAATTTATAATTGTAACAAATAGTATTTGAATAAAAACATTCAATCGGGTAAAACACGGGCGTTGCCCGGGTCATTCGGCTAGTGTAAAATAAAAAGAAAAATTGAAAATGTAAAACGACACTTGAAGTTACACCGCATGAGTTTCTTTTCAACGACAAATTATTATTTTTTTTTATTATTTCAAGGTGAAATATCGACTATTTCTAACCTTTTTGGATGAGGTATGGAAGGATGAAATATGAAGAGTAATGTCGAACGGAAAAATAAAAGTGTCCAGGGATGGGAAATTTGTCGTTGAAAAGAAACTCATGCGGTGTAACTTCAAGTGTCGTTCTACAATTACAGTCCGCAGTGTATTATATAAAAAATTGAAAATATCATTTAGAAAGGATCATGAAGATCTTTTTAAAAATTCCTTTATAGTTGTCTGTTTTTGAACTGAAATCCTATTCAGGATGCATTCCAGATGGTCTATTTTGAAAAAAAAAACATGCATATTTTTCTTCCTGTGAAAAATCTTTTATAATAACATGGAAATGGAATATCGAAATAAAATGTTATCATAATCATTGTGGCTACATTTTATAAAGATTTATTCATTTAAAAGGTAATTATTTGTAAATTTTAAAATAACTAAAATATTCCAATGCTAAAAATTAAAAAGAAAATAATATTATTAACTCTTAACTGGACGGGTTGGGTAGATTCCGCCCATTCATAAACTTAATATAGGAAAAATATATTTTTTTCGTTTACTGAGAGCTACCAGCTTTCATGTAGTCTAATTTTACAGTGATACAAATATTTTCCATACATCATTTATGAATATCAGTTTTGGGTGGGGGGTTAAATTTGTATATGGGGGCCGATTCCGCCCAGCCCGTCCATAAGCGTGAGAATTTTTCCTGTCAGTGTTAGCTCGTGTCTCATACTTGAATCGCTATCTTCTGCTATTTTTTAGCTTCCTTTTATAAAATAACACTTCTTTCTTTGGGTAAGTATAATTATCAATCAAGTCAACAGAGAGAACTATCCCTGCAACCCAAAATATATATAAGTTTTAGAGATTAGTCAACCACTTTGGAAGAGTAATAGGAATATTACAACTGACAATTGGTTCACTTCAATATATAGAATTAGTTGATAAGTTGAAAGAACATGGCCTTACATATATATTTAGGAAGGATGAGAAAGAACAAACCTCAGATTCCACCACAATTTCAACTGCACCCTAACAGAGAATAAGGAACATTTTTGGTTTCTCTGGAACAACCACTTTAGTCTCCTATGTTCCCAAAAAAAAAAAAGAAAATCTGTAATCAGATTGATAAAAAGGGTAAAAAAGAAAGGAGTCATTTTATTGTTGATCTTGGGAGAGCATTGACTGATGAACACCTGGCCACACGTAATCTTAATTCTCTCCCGCTGGAATTACAGACGACAATTCAAGAAGAATGATGGTTCAAGTAAACCAAGTGAAACTACAATGCCACAATAATCTGATACTCCAAAAAGGTGCTACAAATTTCCATCAAAAACGCGGTAAAAAATAAAAATTTGCTCTGTATGTCAACTAAGCGTTTGCAAAAAACATTTCTTAATAATTTGTGAAAACTGTAAATAGATTATTTTCAGAATTTTTAAAAGTCAAAATCTGTATATTAACATTTATATTAATTAAATATTTTTTTTTAAATTATGATTTCAATCATTATTTAGCACTTATTTCATAAAGTTACATAAGTGGGTTGAATCTACCAAACCCGTCCAGTTACGTAAGAAAAATTCACCTGTCCAGTTAAGGGTTAATTAGCGCACGATGACTAAATTCCTGCGTAAAATAAAACAATAACACTCGCGACATTGCGAAACTTCACTGCAAAGTGAAACTTAAACTAACCAGAAACCAAAAGTGTGCAAGCGCGATCCTATCGGCATCCGCTGCTTGCTGCCGCTGTAATACCTTTTTAGCGGTAAAGTTGTATGTAAAAAAGCATTCAACTGTCAAAATTCGAATTTTAAAATGGTCGAACTATCGGGAGTGTTGTATTATCGATAGTGTCCAATTATGGTTTGTTATTTGATAGACAAGAGGTCCAGACATCAGAACATGGTCGAATTAACGAGGCTATACTGTATAATTGCATTTTATCTATTTATCATGATAATAAACTATTTTTTAAATTAAATTATTATTAATATTATGAATTTTATTTAACGAAATAAAGTATATATGCAGTACATATTGTTGTGTAACAACGGCGCGACCCTGAACGCCGGACACGTGGGCGCGATTAACACACGCCCGCTATCTTAACTAGCAAGGCTCACGATTTTGAATTTTTTTTTTTTATTTTAATTAATTTTAAACTCTCTCTGTGAGTCATCGAACAACATAGTTCGGCAAGAAATTGCACTTTGACCACGGACCAACTTTCTTGCTTGCACTTTTTATTTATTTTTTTTTTTTTTCGGACTTAAGTTCCATTTTTGGATCAACGCAAAATGAAGACAGCCTGACCCGCACCGACCGACCCTACAGAGGACCGACCCGAGTGCCAAGAAGCTACAGACAAGATGCTTCCCCGGACCAGCCCCAACCCTGGCACCAATAAAAAGTTACATCCCTTAGTACGGCCCTGTGACTTCCAGGCTCCCACACAACAATATGTTTTGGGAGTTTCCATTTGGTTCCAAGCAAAAATGCACTCACAAAGCACAGGTTCAATAAAAGATTGTTACAATAAACCTAAAGCTATTCTTTTTTATGCAAATTTGATGATACTCCTAATGTATGATATCCAAGGCACTTAGCCTTTAGGGGCTTGAAAATGTAGGCATGAATGAATGCATTAGACAGGGTAAGATGCCTATGAAAACTAATTTAATGGAAAAACAAAAATGGTTCCATTAAAAATGAACTCTCAAATCAGGAAACACTGGAGATGTTAAAAATACAATACTATGTTCTGGGTATGAATACAAGGGAAGAAAATTTTTTTTTTTTTAATTGATATATAATTTTTTTGAAAGAAGAATAAGAAGAAGAAAAAATGCTTTTTCTTATCAAAAGGGGTTTTCCAGTCAATTTTTAAATTGCAGATAAATCTGTGGAATGCCAGTTTTTCTGTTTATTGTGTTTTGGTCTATAGAAAGCATGAATTGCTTGTGCCCCCTGAGTTCTCACACAGGGGCTTCACTGACATATGAGGACCTGCTTCTTTCTTGTCCTCTGGAGGTGCAGTGCCTCATTGTGCTGCCCAACACCACCACAGACCTGCTCTCAAGCTTCTCAGAACATGAAAGTGATGCAGCTGTTGCCTCACCCCAACAGAATGCTGCATCGCCCATGGTTCCATTGACTTGTTGCTTGCCCACAGGTACTGGACCTGTAATGTCATCCGGCCTTTCATTTGAGAGTGCTTATACATCCTTCAGTGGCTACCAGACATGAGGGCCTGGGGGGAAATCAATTTGTGCCCCTCTTCATTGCATGCACAGTTCCTGTCTTTCATTGATGCATGTGCACAAATAGTGGGATCTCATGAACTCGCTGGCCAATGGTAGCTGATGTATACTTTCTGCAGCTGCTGATTGGTTAAAGGGATGAGCCGATCAGTCAAGTGTTTTGAAGCTGAAGTGGAACAATTAAAGAGATTCAATTTTTGCTTACAACACAGGTATCAAAGTTAAAACAAATATTTAGCCCAAGGCATGCCACCTATAATAAAACCATATACAGTCGAACCTCTTTAATTCAACACCCCAAGGGATCAGAGCTTTCGGTTGAATTAAAGGAAGTGTTGAATTAAGGTTAGATGATTACCCATCAACTCGCTAAAATAATGTTTTTTAAAAATTGTAATATAAATTAATGATATTATAATTGAAGCCATTGTGTGTGTATTTTTTGTATTTATTTTTTATTTTCATGATTAACTTTTAGTATCAGGGACATAATGGCAATAATACATATTTTTGAAACATAAATAATTACAAATAATATTTTATTCTAATTGAAGATTATAGCAGTTGAAAGGAAATAAATATGGAAAATAAAAAGAAAATTTAAAAATAATATTTAAAAAGAATCATGATCTTTTTGAAAATTCCTTTATACAGTAAAACCCCTCTATAGTGAACCCCAATGGGACAGAGCTTTTGGTTCACTATAGCCACGGTTTGGCTTTTTTTTTTTTACTTTTCAAAAATTTTAGACCGTATAATTAAAGGACAGCCATACACACTGGAAGAGACTGCATCTTAATAGTGGTCACTTTGTTTTAATTCCCTTAATTGACCAATTTCCTTATATTAATACTGAATAATAATAGAAATCATTAGATGATAGGTTCTTCTTATCATTAACAT